GCGAATGTCGACTGGTGGCAGTACATAAACGACTATTAAGCGATTATCGATTATCGATGCTATTGCGAGTGTCGCTTTCGCTCAATTAGCGACTGTGGATACTTTTTAATCGCTAATCCTTCTATTGCTGTTTTTTAGTCGTTGGAGTTTGCGTTTATAAAATTTACATAAGAAAGTGGTACTATAATGGATAAAAAGTAAGTCAATTGAACTGGAAGTTGTAAAAAATTGTGAAATATACATATGTATGTATGTGTCTGAATTACAGATCAAAAATTATAATCAACAAAAGGCAACTTGCGCGGTTGGCAAAGGAATTTCCGGAAAGAGTAGGGGAGGAAGCTCTGCTTCGGTCCTCCTGTTCACGTACGCACTATCCAGTAAATCCAGTACTAATTTCACTGGTTTTTTTACTGGATGTCGTTTTCGTACGCAAAAACTTGCAAAAAGTAGCAAAAGAGGGGAAATTGAGAGAGCATAAGTGACAGCTGAACTTGCAAGTTTTACTGGATTTTTACTGGATAAATTTTTACTAGCAACTATTTGCTAGTAAAAAAAACAGCTGATGGCATGATGCTTATTGTAAATCACATTAAGGTTGTTGTGGTGCTTTTAGAGTTGCAATTGACAAAATAAACCTATTTAAATATATAATAAGGGCCTGTGCCAATCGGTAACTTTTTTCTCCGTGGAGAGACGGGGTGAAAAATTTGCTATGGTGTACAAATAAAATGAATTTTGCTGTGCCAAATGCAGAGTTAAATTTTGACAGTTGAGAAACCAAACAAACGCTCGAGCGAAAGCTTTATTTTTGTGTGTTGCTGAAATTCTTAAAATTTATATTTATTTTATATTTTAGCCCCATGAGCTAGGTAAAATTCTGACGTTCTTATTCACCACGAGAAATGTCAGATTTTTACTTTGATCCGTCAAAATTTTCTCTTTTCTATCATTTGGCACAGGCCCTAAGATGGAAAATACTAGTTTGGTAAGAAAATTGCATCGGTAAATAACAAATTAATCAGCTGTTCATAAAACTAGCAACTTGCTGGTTTTGCGTTTTCGTACTTTCTGCCATATTTCACTCATTGGGAGTAAATATTGGCTTACTCTCCGAAATATGGTTACTGGCAAGCTACTGGATATTTTTTGCTGGAGAATACGAAAACACAACTAATATTTCTTGTGCAATTAACTCTGGCTACGCCATCCACAGTCTTTTTGCGCAGAACCAACATCAAAAGTTTACAAAAAACTGCATAATTTATTAATTGCCTAGTGCTCGGAAATTTTAAATCTTTATTTTAAATTAAAGTTTAATTCTTTCACTACACTTGTATGTTAAAGTTTTTAAACTCGGTTCAGGCGTTTGGACACAAATACCCAACATCATTGTACAATTATCTAAACCGTACCGTATTTCTTAAACTTCCATAAAGTTTATTAATGAGGAAAACAGATTTTCTGCAAATAATGTAAAGCCCAAAAACCGGGAATGCATCTTCTATTCATAAAACTCACATATGTACATACACTTCAGCTTCCAATTCCATGGGATCCGACGAATCTTGCAATTCCCTCCTTGCTTTAGCCAACTCTACTAATCTATTAGCTTCCACATCATCTACCTCATCACTAAACCATATTTCAACTGTGTCCTTTTTTTTAAATTTTATAATAAAAGCAATTATTTTAAAAATTATGTAAATAAAACTCTAAACAAACAAATGTAAACAAACAAACAGCTGTTTACAATAGGTGCGTTCGTTTAAAATCTCCAACAGAAACCAACCAACTGCCAAATTCCGGCGAAATGTCATCTGTTCGCTCACAAGAGAGAAATATCCAAAATAGTACGCGAACAGAAAATTTGCAGAAACTTGCAAGTTAGACGAACAGCTGATATAATTTTTGTTTACATACAAAAGTGTAAAATTTAAAACGTACGAAAAGTCATCGCAAAGTGTTGCACTGACACAGCTTATTGATTAAACAAATAACTACTTATTTCTTACAAGTTTAATTTGTCGCATTTTGTAATTTTTATCTTCCAAACCATCAAATTAAATTTTGTGATTTGCGTAAATGCCAACCAGCTGTTTTTGATCAGCTGTTTCCCTGTTGGCAAAAATTTTTCCAACAGAAACTAACAGCTTCCCCTCAAAATGAAATGTCACTTTGCTCTCTCAATTTCCCCTACTTTGCAAGTTTTTTTGCGTACGCTAACGCAAAAACCAGGGCTCGAATCGTCACATACGAGATCGTATTATTCGTCACGTAAAAACACAGTTTTCGGATTATGACATACGTGAACGTACTTTTTACCCCATTTAGCTTATACGACTGACGGTATCACGTAATTTTCTTTCGTATGGTTTTCGACCCGTGAACGGATGTTACGATTCGAGCCCTGTAAGTTTTGGTTAAACATGAACAATTAACAGCTACGCGAACGAACCTAATTCTGTCAACCATTCACAATAGTACAAATTTTTATCGATCAAGTTACACAATAGCAAAATAAAAGATGATCGACTCGATCGACAAATTTCTATTCTACTGCCAGTCGCAACTCTTAATACGGGCCGCAATAATTTTCGACGTTTTGCTTTTATTTGGCAAGCACAGTAGCCATACCGAGACAAATTGGTTAAACGGTTACCGAGATACATATATGTGATCACAAGATCGTATTTCTTGACAAAGAATTGTTGCAAGCATCAATTTTGAATAAATTAGCTTTAATATTTACTGATTTATCGAAGATTTCGTATTTCTCCAAATTACCGTTATATGGGAGGTAGCCGTGGTTATTGTCCGATTTTACCCATTTTCCATACCATCAGTCCCACGCCCGAAAGAAGTGCACGTTATCGTGTGCAGACGGACCGGTGGACGGACAGACAGTCACCACTTAATCGATTTCTTCTGTATACATTTGTCTATATATACAGTATTGGATATATCTATAGCACCCCCCTTTCAAAGCGATATTGTTTGCCACTTATGTTTAATTATTTGTTTTTAAGAATTTTCAATTAAAATACAGTTCATTCTCCAACAAAACCCATATAAACCAATGTTTTAAACTTTTTAAAAGACCGCAAAAAAGTGCAACGAACTCCCTTAAATTTCAAACTTTTTTCTCAGAAGCTCTAGAATTTTTTTGAGTACACAGTTTTATAGCGCATTCAATTTTGTCCAATAATGTGCAAGTTTCAAGTCGCTAAAGATTACCGTTGATTTTTTAGAATTTTTTTGTCTCATTTGCTTCCATATATGGACTAAACACAATTTATTTTTATATGGCAGAAACCCGCAACATCCTCGGCGAAAAAAATTCTAAAAAAATCAACGGTATTTTTTAGCCACTTGAAACTTGCACATTATTAGACTAAAATTGAATGGGCTATAAAACTGTGTATTCAAAAAAATTCTACCGCTTCTGAGAAAAAAGTTTGAAATTTGGGTGAAAATTTGTTGCACTTTTTTGCGGTCTTTTAAAAAGTTTTAAACTTGAGTTTTGTGAGAGAATGAACTGTATTTTAATTGAAAATTCTTAAAAATAAATAAATAAACATGAGTGGCAAACAATATCACTTTGAAATGGGGGTGCTATTGTATTGGCCAATACTGTATCTCGATTCGTTTTACCTGTTACAAACAACTGTTATGTGAACAAAGTTATAATACCCTTGTGCACAAGTGCGCACGGTATAAAAAATAGCGCGCAAGTTTAAGAGTCAAGTGCACCAACGCGCAAGGTTAAGGATCAAGTGTGTCAAAGGAGATGGGTTGCCTTTACATTTGATATTGTCACATGGTAAACAAACAAGGTAGATATTACCATGTTTAACAAAAAGAAAAAAGTAGGTACCCTGCAAACCAAAGGACCCGAAATCTTAAGGAAATCGTTAGAAGTATCTCATTTCTGTAACGATTTTTTCCAAATTTTCAAAGAAAATTATATGAAGTGGTTGACACGAACTCGTAAAGAAATTTCTGTACCAAAAATAAAGAAAATTCTAAAAGATATTCTTCACATAGCAGCATTATTTTCGTTTCTTCACAGATTTTCTTCCGAAATTTCGTAAAAGAATGGAAGTGTGCGTAATTTATTTCATTTTATAAAATTCGGCAAAAAATCGAATTAAATCTTAAATTCTTTAAAATGCAGAATACTCTGAAAAAATGGTTTGCCGGGTTTATTTATTAAAAATTGGTTGAAACTAACCTTTAAACCTTTATGGAAAGTGATTCGGTTTTCGGGTCGGATCAAACATTTGTGGAAAATTTCGGTTCGGTTAATGGTTCAGTTAATTAATAGAAAAAAGCGGTTTTCCGGTTCACGTCCCTGCTCTAACCAATTCTTCTAATGAGCTATTATTAATCGATACACAACATAGAAGATGTGGCGGTCATTTCTGCATACTTCAATCAAGTAATTAACGGACAAAACAGAATAACCACAAAAGCTCTTCAATAAATGGTGTTCTAATATACAAAGTAGTACCCCTGAAATCCTAGATGTTAAAATATAAAGCATCGTTCTTTTTAATTTATAACCACTGTAGAAAAAATTTGAACATTGCGCAATTTCTTTGGAAATTAGCATTGTCCGTGGTTGATGATTTTTATATATACGTTTAGTAAATTATTAAATTTTCTTTAGACTCTTCAATTGAGCCCAATGTGTATTTAAATATTTAGACATAAGTTTTTATTCAAAATTATTTCATTAAATTATCTTTATTTGAACCCTTTTTATACAAGTTTTGCTTACGTTCATATTGAATTAAGATATGAAATTTTGTCCTGCAAAATAACTGCCATCGGTCATTTTGATAGAAAAATTATGATACTGCTAATTCCTACTACATACTTTCAATCTCCTCTGCGCACACTGTGCCACTTCATAGAGGACGATGCTCAAAACTAATTTTTCAAATGTTGGCATACCAAAGTAGCGCATCTCGTGTATAAAGATTACGGTCCTGTTCACTACCAGTTGCCGCGTACAGCAGTTAAAAATTTACTGTTGAGTAAAACTATTATTTTTCGATATCGAATGCGAGTTATTGAAATAGATTTTTTAGCACCGTATCAATATTTGATTTGATCGGAGTCCGAGATATTCTGTAGTAAACCAAATTTTCCAAGGTGAGTTTTTAAATTATACTTTTCTCAAATACGCAAAGCGCTTTTGCCAATTTTTAAGTTTGCTATTATATAGTCTAACGCGTAAAATAAAGAAAAGTTCAGAAAACAACTTTGCAAGTTTTGAAGAAAAAATCATTTAAAAAATCTACCTTTAAACAAATTAAGTCTACTACAAATTATTCCTTATCGGGGTGGTTCTGTAATTCACTTTCGAGAGAATTTCAATCAAATACACTTTGAATTCTAATTGGCGGCGGTTGAAATTCACTCGGAAGTGAATTGCAGAACATGCCTGTATATTTCTGAAATCGATGAAATTGAATATTTATAAAAGGTTGTTAAACAATTAATGCACATTGCTTCCTCACTAACAAAATTAATTTCAAACCAAGGTTATAAAAACACATTTCATTAACACACGTGAACTCGCTTCCGATATCCGATTTTTTTTTTTTTTACTATACAGTTTACTGTGAACTGCTGTATGCGGTAACTAGTAGCAGTTATGAACCCAATATTTATATAGGAGATGTGGTCTGTATATCAACATTTGAAAAAATGAGTTTTTAGCATCGCCCTTTAAGAAGCGGCTACGGTGTGCAGCGAATAGTCAAATAAGTTTAAGTTGCACGAATATAAGTTTGAATATATTAAGTTTATTTTTAACTAGAACAGTTGTAGAAGTTTCATATAATTTTAAATGATACAAAAGAATTTCATCCCTCCTATTTTAAATTCTGTTCTTCACTTAATATATATGTAAATAAAAATAAATCGTGCCAGTATTTATTCTTTGATTCGCTTTTTATCCTTTCCTTTTATACACAAAAATTACTTGTAAGAAATTAGTAGCCTAAGATATACAAAACTATCTTATAAAGCACACGCACGAACGATAATAACAGAAATTTGTGATTTATGTATATAATCATTCTTCAAATTAAATCTATAGTAATCAGTAGGCGTGAATCGAAGTTTTTAACACTTCATAGCACATAGTACTTCAAAAGCCCGCAGTCATTATAAAACACTTATATAAGAGCTTAAGAGTTTCATCGGCGAGTGTTCTAAAGTAGGTAGTCTATTCAAACTTGCGATACTTAGCTTGGTTCCCACCACGTATACTTGGACCTGCTATTCCCGCCGCTGCAGATGTTGTTGTCGTTAACGTTTCACTATTGTTACTACCTGCTGTGGCGCTAACTAGTTGCATTCGCCGTTTTACGACGATTTTTCGACCCTGTGTAGGCACAACGGCCGTGGTTGTCAATGCCTTTGTTGTTGGCACTTTTACGCTAACCAGTTCATCAGTGTGGGCACTACTGGCGGTGCCATCCGCATCGTTAGCTGCACCATCTGCACTAGTGCTTGCTGTATTCTCATCGTCCTGAAATAAAACATCTTTAAAAATTTACTTAATTTTTCATTTAATACAATTTGTATACCTCATCAGCTACATCTTCGCCAGTTTCCTCTTCTTCAAATTCTATATTATAACCTTCGGGAGGCTCAAGGAGTACCCCATTCAATGTGGGCAAAGGAATTTCCGGTAAAATCACTTGATGATTTGGTCCATTACGTTCGTTCATTAACTGTTGCAATAGTTGGGAAATGTCTTCGCGTTTGCGAGTTACCGTTATTGTATCAAACCAATTACTTAACTGTTTAATCGGCACTCTATAATCTCTGATTGGATCTTTGAAGAATTGTTCCACGTATTGCAAAAGATAAAGACCGCAGTCCGTGAAATTATTTTGCTGTGGCACTTTAACGCCATGACCCGGCATATTATCCTTGTTGAATATATGGGGTGTCACATCAGGCATTTTAGCTCGATATTCACACGTCAAGTAATCTCGTAACGTAGCAACAACTCGACTACGTGACGCACCAGCCAACGAATCAAAAATTAATATCAACGGCTGCTTAATTGCTTGTGATTTAACGCCGCCAGTATTGCTATTATTGGAATTGTTATTAGTTGCTACCGCTGATGCATTCGCTGTGGATGATACTGCAGATGCACTGGTTCCGCTATCGAAATCACTTTCTTCTGATGCTAAATCACTTTCGTCGCCCTCCGCTTCATCACGCTCGCTGTCATCATCACCAACTCCACACACTTCCGCCAGAATATTTCCGCTATCACGTTTTGAGAGTGGTGTTATAGTCGTATTACCAATTTGCAGCGATACCTTTTTCCCTTCTATAAATGAAATGGTTATAATAAAAACAATATGAATATTACATTTTATATATATATTAATATATTAATATTATATTATTTTTTATATTTACATACTTTGCTTCTTCAAAAGTTGCGGCTCCACTGGTATATTCGTATCATACGTTACAGGACCTTTCAACGTAGGAAAACAAATTATCGCTAGGAACCAATGTGATTGCTCATTGATTGGAATTATGATAAAATCCTTCTCAAATAGATTCACATTTTTTGTCCAGTTCTGAACACGGGCATGCCGCTTTTGTGCTGCAGTCTGTTTGACATCTTTGTCTACGTTGTGATGATGTCGTGTTAGTGTTGTTAAGCGCTTGTAAAAGAAAGTGCTGAAAATGAAAGCGCGATCACGCTGTGTCTGTGGGATGACATTGTTGTGTACCCATTTAAGATAAAAATCGATTATGATATCGTTAAGATACTGATCAGTGGCCAAGCAAAGGTAGTCTTCCGTATTAATTGAAATACCACCTTTTCCCGGCGGATAAATCAGTAGCTGGCGTATTTCGTTGGGATTCAGTTGAGTGGTGGTGACGGATGCAGATGTGGTTGATCTGTAACATCGAAATTTATTAGCTGCATGAAACACGAAATCTTAACCACAATCTTACTCGGCCGTTTTGTTGGCGATATGCCGGTCAGCTGCTTCTGCACGTTGTAGCAAATCATGTGCATCCACATCGGAAATTTCATCAAAGAAGTCCCAAATTGATTTGATGACGTTGCGTGATTGATCGGAACAGGCGCTAAATTGCAATATTATTTTCCGGACTTGGTATGGACCATTAGGTGAGAAGTATGCACCTAATTTAAAATTGATATACATGTGAAAAATTTTATAAATAAAATTAATTTTATAAAACATGTAGTTAGTTAAAATACATACAGCCATCGAGGGGTGCTCCATTATCTTTCATTTGTAAACTGTTCTTTATATATTGCGCACAATTGCGTAATGTGTAGAAGCACAACATGGACTCAGACACTTTTGAGAAATGAGCAATAATTTTCACAACTTCACGTTTATGTATATGCAATGGGAAACTCTCATTTTGATCAGTTACTAACGGTGCTACAAGGCAAACACCTTTGGAAGTAAATGTGACCTACAAATTTATTGATAACTATTTTAGTCATTCTTTTCTCCATACATGATGCACGAACTTACCGGATCCTTTGGTTCAAAACGATATGTACCAATTCGCACAACTTTGCACTGCAATGTCGTACTTAATTTGTCCGAGCAATTTGTTAGATCAGTCACATCGTCCCTCTGAAAATCTGAAAACGGGAAATAAAAAAAAATAAATACAAAACATCTTTTTTACTTATTTTAGTACACCCCCAACAATTTTAACTTTATATCCTACAACACATTATTTTAATCAATTTTTTCTGCAGCCCTATTAACTACATATACACGTTTTTTTTTATTTCCACGCATCTTCTGACGTTTAGACAGCAGCGGCTTACATTTCGGACACTATATACTTTTTTAAATGTCTACCTTCCAATTCCATTTCTCTATTGATTAGTGTTTCGCGTAAAAATCATTAAGAAATGTTTTCTAGATGTTTACGTAGCACAACCAGCAAAAATTTAATCAGATTTTTCAACTTCATTAAATTTTGTAACTTTGCTTTGCTTTTTTCTTCATGGCATGATGGCGACGACGTTTGCCAACAGCGACACCTGATGGCAATTAAATTCGAACATGAGAAAGGTATTGCCACATACAAAATTGTTAATGCTTTGGTTATTTTTTAGCCATTCAGCGACATGCACCAAATACAAATCCATCCCAATAAACACCAAAAAAATATTTCTCCAACATTGGAGAAATTCATAGTTCTCGAACTCATCTCTAACTGACGCGCAGATACGTAAATAGTGTTAGAGAAACGAATATTTAATTATCAAGTGAAAAACTAATGCTATATAAAGAGAAAAATCACCAACAAAGGGTAAATAATCTTCAAAGTATCCTCAAATAATCTTGAAAGAAAATAAAACGCGAAGTGAATCAAGTGGCAAAATTACTGTCGGACAATATACTGTGAAGTGAATTATTGTAATACGATATTGATTAACTACATAATACAAAAGGAGTAATAAAATTGAAAATTAATATTTAAATTCACCTATTACTACGTTTATGCGTAAGCTATTTGCAAATAAAAATAATTTGCAAATACCTAACTCACTGTTTATTCGATGGCGCAAAATTCTTTTTTAAAAAGAAAATAAAGTTAAAACTGGCAACGTCTTAATTATAAAAAGGCAATAAGATGACCATCGAAAATGAAAATAAAACTGAGAATGGCGGCGTCTTGCGCTTATTTACAACCACTAATCTATACTTATTTGCAAATATTACCTTAACTCAGCGTTTATACGGCAAAGTTTACCATTTTACAAATTGTTATTTGCAAATAATACGTGCGTATAAACGTAGTATATATCGTTTCAATCAAAAAGGTATAAGGTATTTTACTATAGTTGTGTTTTCGTATTCTCCAGCAAAAAATATCCAGTAACTTGCCAGTAACCATATTTCGGAGAGTAAGCCAATATTTACTCCCAATGAGTGAAATATGCTAGAAAGTACGAAAACGCAAAACCAGCAAGAAGTTGCTAGTTTTATGAACAGCTGATTAATTTGTTATTTACCGATGCAATTTTCTTAGAAAACTAGTATTTTCCATCTTATTATAAATTTAAATAGGTTTATTTTGTCAATTGCAACTCTAAAAGCACCACAAACAACCATTTTCTTAATGTGATTTACAATAAGCATCATGCCATCAGCTGTTTTTTTTTACTAGCAAACTAGCAACTAGCTAGTAAAAATGTATCCAGTAAAACTTGCAAGTTCAGCTGTCATTTCTCTCTCAATTTGCCCTCTTTTGCTAGTTTCTTGCAAGTTTTTGCGTACGAAAACGACATCCAGTAAAAAACCGGTAAAATTAGTCCTGGATTTACTGGATAGTGCGTACGCGAGTAGGGCTTATTTAAATTTCAGTATTTCAATGATATGTTTGAGACCAATTGGAGAATTACATTGGAGTTCAAGTTGAGAACTAGCATTTTGTCAGCTTGAGAAACAGTCCCTTTATCATACAAAGAAAAATGCCTTTTTTGTTGAGAACGCTATGATCCTCCACTTGAGATACTGTTGGGAAACAACGTTGGAGATTTGAGAATTACCTTAGTTCTCAACTTAACCTCAAGTTGAGCTCAAACCTAAATGTTTATTGGGATTATGCAATAATACAAGGTGTTACGGCTGGCAGCTTCTCGCTCTTCACAACTGATACCACCTTGTATTATTGCATCATGATACAAATCCATTTGCCAAAGGTCCTCTGCAAAAACGGCACAACTCAAAACTAAAAAAAAAGCAGTTACTGCTGTTAACCGTCTTATGTCTCTAATCCTTGTATTAGTAGTAAGGATTCCTTAAGTAATTCGAAAAGTTTGGACATGTATTGGACAAGGATTAGACATGAGACACTTAAAAGTAGTAAGACGTAGTAAGAGATGCATCAGTCTCTTTTATTTCTAAACTGCTATTAATTGAAATGTCCAATATGTGCAACCACGGTTATATGCCGAATTGGAACTTGTTGCTTAAAGCTTAGTATCCAGCTCTTAAGAAAACGGTCAAGAAAAAATTGCCATTATTTCGCGTGTGTGTCCAAGGAATTTTTACATTTTTTATACCTCACAGCCTGTTGCCTCACTCTTTCCTCAAGAAATAATGGAACGGGCATATATTTCTGTTGCAAACCTGGGTTGCCTTGTGCTCTTTTTTTCACAAAAAACTTTAGAAAACCGTAGTAGAAAGCGTACTAAATTTCTGAAGAACTGCGTACTGCCTTAAGGAAATTTGACTCAAGAAAATTTCTTAGCCATTTCTTGTACGTCATTTTATATGGAGTTTTTGCTTTTCTTAAGAGCTGGATACTAAGCTTAAGCCTGATATACAGTTCAATGCAGGGATGAAAAATTTTAATTTCAGATTGTACCTAATATCATAAAATAAATGTACCTAAATGAGATAGATTGTACCTAAAAAAAGTTACATCATTCATTTGTAGTTTTTTTTATAAATTGTATTTATAATAGGAATACAAATGACAGATTTACTTTAAACATGATTAGGTTTTTTTTAACTGGGCCTATATCTATATACTATAGTCTAATGGGAGTCGTAGAAGCGTTGTTTTTGTCTACTGAAAATATTAGCGAAAAAACAAAACACACACTTTAAAAACATACACTTTAAATCATATTTCTTTATGCAGCTTTTTATAAAACAACAGGAAAAGTCTGCTAATTTATCCGATTCCTTTTAATAGGTGCAGCAAGTCTAGAGAAAATAATCAAATTGCCGTAAGTAACTTCGAAAGCATTTGAAATATATGTATGTATTTTCAGAAATCAAAAAGCGAATATGGGTCAAATAGCTATAGCTCTCATCTAAAGAAAATATGAAATTTGAAGACATCCTAGACACTGGACTGTAAAGGCTGGTTTTCATTATGTCATATTTTGACAACAAAATTTGTTGACATATTTTGACACAACTTTCTTTCCTTTATAACTACCTTTATCGATGATATTATGGGCCAAAAACTTACAAATAGCCGCTTTAGCAGCGCATGTACACACCTGAAAGCCTATTCTGATCTAAATCAATCAAAAGACCTTTTTTAGATCCATTTGACCATTTGTTTTCACTCATTTGACCGTAAATGCCATTGAATCAATAGAAAAAAAACTACGAATTTTAGGATAGCTAAGTAAAGTGAGGAGAAGCTCGGCCAAACACTAACATATGTGTAAGCGCCAATCTATTATTTTTATTATTATTAAGTAAAGTGTTAATTTTTCGTAGTGGCTGCTCTAAATGCAATGTAAAATGTTTAAGATAATACATAATATTACTTTTTTAATTCCTTCCTATTGACCACTTTTCTATATAATTGTTTATTCTTCAAAACGAAAGCGAAGCTTTTCCCGTGCCTATATGTAAACATATTAGCACGGTAAAGGAAAAAAAAACTAACAATGCATCAAAAGATGATTGTACCAAAAATCTAGTGACTGTACCTAATGTACCTTTAAGTCATCAAACGTCGGAAAAAGGTACAATTGTACCTACTTTTTCATCCCTGGTTCAATGCGAGCGTGAGCGTGAGCTTTTTATTTTGACCAATATCTTAGTTATTACCAGGGTTCGGAAATATTCATATATGAACGTTCGTGAACATACATTTATGATTTTATACGCGAAGGTGAATGTATCAAATATTCTGTATTGATTCTCCTTGGATACTGTTCTAGTGCGGTATTTGAACTATTTGCATATGCAGAGTTGCGAAACATTGCAGCCATATAGATTGCATATTTGGAATATTTAATAAAACAATGATCACCATTTCGGAATTTTGCATTTTTAAAACACCAATGGTAACCAAAGGCAAACTAGCATCAACTTTGTTTCTGATGCGCTGATTACTCTAGCGATGCGTATCGAGAACTTTTCGGATGCGTTGGAAAAGTATACATTGTCAACCAATTGTAGTTCGGCGTTATGGAACATAAAACTTTGTACGTATGCAATGCAATTGACGTTTTGGAAGTCAGCCATAATATGGTGTTGTCAGTAGCGACGTGTTTGTTGTAATTTTGACAAAATCGGTACGCTTATTTCCAATGATGCGTACTCACATATTTACACCACAAAGCTTAAGAAAATAGTACTCGAAATATTAGTAGAACTACTCCTTTTCATGATAGCGCTCTAAAAGAAAGCGCTTTCAGCACTGTTTTTTTACCTCTTCTTCATTATGCATTTTCGTGTTGCAAATTAAACTGAAAATCTGAAACTTGGAGTTATAAATTATAAAATTGCGGTGTTTTCAATGAAATAAATCGTTTTACGTTTAGTAAGCAGTTTAAAAATCTAGATAAGTTTAAGTAATGCTACTACTAGCTGTTGTGCTAGTAAAATTTACGCCTCGAATAAAATTTGGTATACAGAATTGGCTAGTTGAAAATTTACAAAATAAAAAAGCTTTCGACCGCTGCATTTGATCCAGTGAAACGTATTTTTAAGCAATCGGATACAATGCCTTTTAGTGCCCATTGCATTTGCATAACAACCCACCACATTTAACTTTGTTTTTGGTACCTTATCCAGCCAGGTATACATAGCTTTTATTTGCAAGTAAGGAAAACCTAATGTCTTCTTTTTCAGTGTTTTTGTTACACGG